TTACTGTGAAGAGACAACATGACCACTTCAACTCTTAAGTTCTTTTATTTTTTAAGATTTACTTATTTATGAATGAGGGCTTTGTCTGTGTGTACGTCTGCACATCAGAAGAGGGCACTGGATCCTGTTACAGCTGGTTGTGAGCCACCATGTCATTGCTGGGAATTGAACTCGGGACCTCTGGAAGAGCAGCCATTGCTTTTAACCACTGAGCCATCTCTCCAGACTCCCATTGCAGCCTTTATAAGGGCAAACATTTAACTGGGGCTGGTTTACAGTTCCGAGGTTTAGTCCATTATCTTCATGGCAGGAAACAGGGTGGCATGTGGGCAGACGGGGTGCTGGAGAGGTAGCTGAGAGTTCTACATCTTGGTCTGCGGGCAGAAGAAGGAGACTGTGTGCCACACTGGGCATGACTTGAGCATATGAAACCTCAAAGCTGGCCTCCACAGTGACACACTTCCTCCAACAAGGCCACACCTACTCCAAAAAAGCCACACCTCCTAATAGTGCCACCCCCTATGGACCAAGCACTCAAACACATGAGTCCATGGGAGTCATTCCTATTCAGACCACCACAACCCCCCATGAACTAAATGTGAGTTTCTGGGAACGGCATAGCTAGGACCTGGAGCTAAATGGGTCCCTTTTGTTTGTGATTAGCTGGAAATGTCCATAACTCAAAGATCTAATCCTTTAGGTTATCTAAGGGAGACTACTTCTTAATAGGTATTCCTTATAGAACTACTCACCAAAGACAGAACCCACAAGCAAATGGAGACTTTTCTTTTCTTTCTTTCTTCTTTTATTTATTTATTTATTTATTTATTTATTTATTTATTTATTTATTTATTTTAATTTTTTCACCCCTGTGATCATTTTATTTCTCACTCTGAGAAAGAGGTTTTATCTTCACCCTGGAAGGACGGGTTCCATGGAAGGTGAGGAACCTGTCGCACCACAGGTAAGCGATGGAGCTATGGACTCCATCCCAGATGAGAACACAGCTGAGGTTCTAGAGCATGAAGAGGCGATCTCATTGGGGGGCTCCTTTGGAACACTCAGCACTGCCCTGCTGTCTTCTAGGAAAGTGTTTACCATCTTATGTCAACAAGAACTTACATTTCCAGGGTGGAACACAGCCCTAACCCTCCAGGCCATGGCCTCATAATCAACACCAGCTATTCATGATGTTTTTTCTCTTCCCACAGAGGTTCTTTATAAGCCTCCTGCCAGAAGACTGTGTCCCGGTGGTTCAGAATCAGACTCCCAGCTTGTTTATACAATGTAGCAACAGAAACCTACCCTACCTTCTACCAAACCTACTAATCTTTTTTTTTTTTTCATCCTTTGTCTTGCCTCTAATTCTGCAAGTCAGGGGACTGTTGTACTTTTTAAAGCACCATGCCAGATACTGGGATCTTTGCAGCTGCAGAGGTTTGATCTGAACTGAAAAAGCACAGAAAGACCTGCCTGCTTCCTGCTGTCCCACTCTCCACCATCACAGGGGGGAAAAGTGCCCTGAGTATGACTCACACACATGCACTTGCATACAGTCACGGGCAAAGCCCCAACCCCCCCCCCACACACACACGTATTTGTATCAATACATGTGTGCATAATCTGTGCATACTCACACAGATTCATATATGCAAACATACACACACACACACACACACACACATGCATATAGGTGTTTGTACCAATGCATGTATGCAATAATCTGTGCATGCCCACACAGACCCATATATGGAAACACACACACACATACACACACACACACTTTCTCACTTCTTGGGGCCATAGACTGGTGGGGTGGTTCTCAGAAAGCAGATGTCTGTCTGAGTGTTGTGTCCCAGAAGCCTGCCTCTATCCTCTCCTTTCAGACCCTCCTGAGGGACTTACCTGTCTCGTTTCGTTAAAACGAAGGCTGTAGTCACTTTCCAGTGATGACAGTGATGTGACTCCACACTGTCAACAGAATTCTTATTTGTTGAGCAACACTTCTGGATCCATTGACAACCTTTCTCTGGCATGTTCCTAGCTTTGCTCTAGATATGTAATTATGAAAGTCAAGAATAATTACTACTTAGAAGTGACAAATTCTACAGGATTCATCATGCCTTGAGGGAAGTCTCTTCGTATGTTCAAAACATCACTTCATTGATAATATTTAACCATAGGCTTACCTCATGAGCTCCCTTTTGCTGGTGGATATTTAGTACTGGACCCACAGAAAATTGAAGTAAAAGGCTCTATGAATAAACAGAAGTTATGATGAAAGCAAATCTTGAACTGAAATTGCAAAGTTAAAATACAATTTAATGGAATTGTTGGCTTATTTTTTTTTTTTTTTTAAAAAAGGAATTTACATGAAAAGATCTCTAAAAATCTTAAAGACAAACTCAAGAATGAAAATGGGCCAGTGAGGTAGCTCAGTGGGTAAGGAAGCTTGTCAGCAAGCCTGACGACCTGAGTTCAGTTCCTGGAACCCACATTACAGAAGGAAAGATCTGGTTCCCAAAAGTTGTCCTCTGACTTCCACACCATCGCGGTGGCGTGGGCAGCCACACATGGAGATAAATAAACGTAATAAGAAATTGTTTATTTAAAGTACCTCTGCTGGGCAGTGGTAGCACACGCCTTTAACCCAGCACTCAGGAGCCAGAGGCAGATAGATCCCTGAGTTCCAGGACAGCCAGGACTACCCAGAAAAACAGTCTCAAAAAACATACATACATACCTACATTCGTATATACATAAAAATGTAAAAGTACTGTGTTTGTACCCCTACAAGTGTGAAAGCCTTGGGTCCTTTCCTCATTGTCCAATCTTGAGTCTGCCCCCTTTTCCTACACTGCTACCAGCTGGCCCAAGGCTTATCACGCACTGCTAAACACAGGGTAGCCTTTTTGTCTCTCTCTTTGCCAGGGAAATCATCGTATTTTAGCCTAGACAGGAGTGAGGCAAATGACTACTTCTCTCGCAAAGCATATGTTTATCATTCCTAGTTTTGCAAGAACCTAGCAATGTAAATTCTGTTTATTAAAACATGAGCTGAGCAGTGTGGCCACAGTGTTGCCAAGTTCAGTTACTCCTGCTGAACTTGAAATTATCTTGGATGATGAAAGGAGACCTTTATGCATAGCTAGACACAGGACGACAGAACACAACGCATCCGTGTTTAAATTTTTTTCCCAAGAGCAAACAACAACAATAATAATAACAACAAAAATTAGTCAAACATTTAATGTTCTTCCAGCCTTCATTTTATTTCCATTGAGTTCTGTAGTGAGAAGCATTGCTGTTTGGGCTTTTTAAAGAAAATGCTAGCTGAGTTAAATAGTTTTACAACTGATTTTCCTTGCACGAGATTGAGGAGGATTCTAGGAATAAGTTTCTCCAGTTTCCCATGGCTTGGACACGGGCAGAGTGAAACAATGACATGTGTGAAGTTTAGTCTGCATGGAGCAGACACAACCTCTCATGGTAAGCAGCACACAACCATGTGATATGGTTTGTTTATTTGATTGATTAGTTGGTTGGTTGATTGGCTGATTGGTTTTTTTGAGACAGGGTTTCTCTCTGTGTAGCCCTGGCTGTCCTAAAACTCACTCTGTAGACCAGGCTGACCTCAAACTCAGACACCAGCCTGCCTCTATCTCCAGAGTGCTGGGACTAAAGGTGTATACCACACTGCCTGGCTTCATGACTCCCTTTCCCAACCTTGCCACAACTGTAGACCTAGATCCTACAACAAGAGTGGTATCCACTTCCAGAAAACTTAAGTCATTTTAAACGCAGTTCCTTTCCTAATACATGGAAGTAACAAACCTAGAATCCAGGCTTGCAGATTTAAGGAGCAGTCCCCTTTGAACACACTTGCCATCGGAATCTGCCTTTCTTCGGGGATCTGGTGGCCACTGGCAACATAGTCTTCTCTGTAATAAAGAGGTTTACCAGCATTCGATTTTCATGGTGGTGAGGCCTTCTGAAAAGTTCTAGAGTGCCTAACCCTTTTCCTCGACGTCCTCAAGCAACACCTGCTCTAAAAATCAAGGAGATGCCAGGGTTGGAAGGATGGTTCAACAGACCAGAGTTCGATTCCCAACACACGCACTGAGTGACTCATACATAAAATTTCTAGGCTTTACAGTATTTCCACCGTACATATATAAAATGAGAATTATATGCCTGTATCATATTGGTGTTGATAATGTATATTCAGATAATAATATTTTGTTACAGTGTCTTTATTATCTTGAAGGGGATATATATATATGGTGGAAATACTGTAAAGCCTAGAAATTGCTTCTAACTCCAGCACTGGATGATCCTACACCCTCCTGGGACCTCTGCAGGCAGCTACACACGCACACACACACATACACACACACACACACACACACACACACACACACACACTTTTTTTTTAAAGGGAACTGCCTTCAGTATATATCTCCCACTTCAGCTCCAGAGGGTGGGCGATGGCTGCCAGGAAGAGTCCTTGGCTGACCGTTGTCAGGTCAGTGGGTAAAACACCGTGATGATCAATCAGTCCATGCACACCACAGGAAATGGGTGTGTGACCTGAGTGTCATCCACGGCATTGTGTGACAGGGCTTATCTGTGACCTGATGGTCTTCACTTCCTTACCTACCTGTCTCCAGTTCTAAACATTTGTGCTACACATTGTCCTGTCCTCAGAATTAGGACAACTTTCAGAGTGCAAATTCTTTTCTGGCTTTGTTTTTTGTTTTGGGTTGTTTTTTTTTTTTTAAGTTAAAAAGGAAGTAACAAACTTTATTAATCATACTTAAAGCCTTAACATTAAATTGGGCATGGTGGCACACTCAGGAAGCAGAGGCCCTTGAATCTTTATGAGTTTAAGACCAGCCTGGTCTACAAAGTAAGTTCCAGGACAGCCAGAGCGACACTGTGAAACTTTATCTCGAAACAACAACAACAAAACAACCTCCTTGATGCCAGGGCCTCCATTAGCTTTTTTAGCAGACTTGGCCAGACTTCAAACCAGTAGCTGCTCCCCGTGATGGAATTCAGAAGTGTTTTATCTGGCCAACTCTATGTTAGCTCTTCATCTGAACCGCTCCAGACACAGCGCGTTGCCCCATACTCGAGAAGTCCCACTGCTCCAGCCTACAACACTCAACCCCCACCTGCTTATCTACACCAGCGTGTCTGGGTGCCCCCGACTCTAGGTCTCCCAGCCTTAGGACACGGTAAGGGAACTTTTTGGTGAAAGTTTTGAAGGGGTGAAGGTAATGGGCTCAAGTTCAAGGAGAATGGACCATCTTCTTAACGTAACCAAGCAACTGAGTGAGAGTTAAGAAGGGTGATGTGAGGTTATCACGAAAGAGAGGCTAGGGGAGTGGCTTGGTGGTATAGAACCCATGCTTAGCATGCACAAGGCACTAGGTTCCATCCTCAGCGTCATAAATACGTGAACGAACTTGGCAGTTCTGTTCCACGAACCTGCCCAGTGAGCTTTCTGAGTTTTCAGCGCTGCCGCTTGCTTGAGAGTCTAAGCCTTCTACATCACCAGAAAAGAGGATGCGCCCTGCCCCAAGCCCTGCACAAAGGCAGCCAGTTTCCCTCTTTGTGGAGCAGGGCATGACGGTAAATCTCTCTCCTAATCCCAGATGCAGAGGGTGAGTGACCCGCGCTGCTTCCCGCTGGGGAAACGCTCTCTCAATAACTGCTGTCTCCATCCTTGCTTCCTCATGACAAAGTGTCCCTTTATAGAGCCCCTGTCCCTGAGCCACGGTGCTCTGTGTGGAGAGTCGCTTATTCTTTTGATCTCTTTTTTATTAACTCATCCCTCGCATGTTCAGATTTGTTGTGTGTGTAGTCTTTGTAAACCCACGACGAGGCAAAGGTAAAGCGACCATTCTTTGATTTTTATCTGCTGCAGACTGAAGATAAATTCTAAGTGTGGTTTTAGAAGTGGCTCTTTTTCTTAAGGCTGAGAAAGCAATTGAACAAGGTGTAAGGGTCCCAGGAACTGCAATTGTGCCTGTGTATTAGCTATGTAGAACTCTCAGGGTGTGTTCAAGCTGAGTGAATAAACAGAAGTATCTTTTCCAGTACATCTCTCCTCTACTTTAAAACAGGAAATTACAATGACAGACAGTCTTGTTGTTGTTTTATTATGTTTATGTTTATTTATATCCTGTTTTGTTCCAGAAAAAAAGAAAAGATTTAAGGCAGTGTAATAGATGAATTTCTCATCTACCTGCAGGAGCAATTTCATTTGATTTTTTTTTTTTTGGTATTATACTCACTTGTTAATGATTGATATGTTAATGATTTGATTAATCCATTGGGTTGGATTCATTTACATCATCATTTACATGTCATCAAGATGTATTTTCAAGGTGACAGTTAATATCCTTCTCAAAATGTCCCATTTCTTAGCATAGGGAACTTGATTTTTCATAAGCAAACAGTATCAGATCCTTGGAGCCCACGGGAAGGAAGCAGGAATGTGAGTCTGGGGAGGTTAAGCTGTCTAGTCCAGGTTTCTTAAACCCAGGAGGACTATGCTTGCGTTTATATTTACTTTTGTGTGGAACTTATTTTTCTGTAGCACACAGGACAGGACTCCATAAAGTTTCCAGCATGAATGGAGGAGTGAACATCAGCACCTTGGCCATCTGCCTGCCATTGACTGAGGAGAGGCCCAGAAAGACTAGATCCCCAACTCCAACCTGTGTGGTGCTGTCAGGCTAGGGTCCTTGTGCTGAATGTCAAGGTCATGAAACCTCAAGGACACAGTGGGACCTATGCTCATTCTTTGTAGGTACAGGGAAAGTCAAGTTCATGGGAAATACAGTGAGCGGGTCAGAACACTGTTTCTCCCAGTACAATTTCACATGGTTTGGGTAGGGTATGAACAGCATCAAAACCCACTGAAGGCAAAGAAAATCGCGATCCACTTTCAATTCCCTCTCGAACTGCCAATCACAATAAGGAGCAGGTCGACTTCGTGTTGACAGACATTTAGCAGGCCTCTGGCTCTTCTTACAAAGAGCTGCCATCAGGCTAGGAACCTTCCGCAGGCCGCAGTAGCCAGCTCTGATCTCATGAGGACGTCCCCACTCTGCGATGTTTGGATTTACATTTACCATGTCTTCCTACAAGGTCATGCAGGATGTGCAGCTGAGATGATGTTGTAAAGTTACTTCTTTAAAACAGATATGTGGGGCCACAAGATGGCTGAGTGGGTAAAAGAGACACTGTGTAAGCCTGACACGGTGTGAGTTCGATCCCAGGAACCCACAGTGGAAGGAGAGAACGGACTCCAGAAAGTTGTCCTCTGACTTTCGCATGCCCCCTGTGTGTGTCACACACACACACACACACACACACACACACACACACACACAAAGTAAAATAAATGTGCTCAGGTGTTTCCATTAAATCCACTTGAAGAATCAGTTATAGAGATGCTGTATAATTCTTAAAATTGAGATTTAAAAGAGGAAGCAAGGGGGAAGGGAATTTCAGAAAAAGATGTCCTGAGACAGAGGTGGGCCTTGATCTTAGAAGAAACAAATCTTGGACAAGGCAAAGTGATGAGTATGGCACACATCTCTGGCTCTCTGTTTGCTCCTGTGTAAATATTAGCACACCTTCTTCAGAGCTGAATGTAGTGATGGAGTGAGTGGCTGAAGAGAAAGCCTCTGAATAAAGTACTGCACGCCTGGAAGGGATTTTATCTGAGAGATGGAAAGGATGGAAAAATGGGAGAATGAAACTTCAGATGGAAAGAACTTAGATGAATCACCCACACCCACCCACACACACACACACACACACACACACACACACTGTTCTCATTGGAGGTGAGCAGGAGGCTTGGTCTATGGAATAGGAGCAGGAAGTCAGTCACCCAGGCGGCATCTCCTGTGTACTACAGTAGAGATGAGAAAAAGGAAAGAAAAAAGAAAGTGGTATGTGTGTGTGTGTGTGTGAGAGAGAGAGAGAGAGAGAGAGAGAGAGAGAGAGAGAGAGAGAGAGAACTCTGCTTTGCTTTCCGTTTAATTGGACAACCCAAAGGATAGCTCCATGAGTCAGGGCAAGGCACTCCTGAGGGCAAAGACCCTACAAAAGCCCTCCCTGTGAGACTGGATCCTGGTAGCTCAGTACATGAACAACTAGATCCAGGGACCTGTTACACACCCAAGCTGCTGAGTAGGAGATAAAGCACTTGCTGAACGAGACTGATGACCTGAGTTCAGATCCCATGAACCTATACTTGAATCTGTGATCCCAGCATTTCTATAGGGAGAGGGGAGTTTGTGGAGCAGCTCCCTGGAGATACAGAGTGGTGGCAGAGATGAGAAGCCCTGCCTTGACCTGTAGCATGAATCCTAATTGGTCTTAATAATAAAAACCCGGAGTCAAATATTGGGGTAAATGCTGAAAGAGAGAAGTAAAGAAGCAGCCAAAGTCACCTCTTACCTCCTCAGACGGAAAAGGGGGTGATCCTGTCTCTACCAATTCTCAGACTGAATGGGGGAGATCCTGTCTCTACATGCCTCATATTCCTGTCTCTGCTTCCCTAGTGCTGGGATTAAAGGCTTGAGCCTCCCATCTGCTGGGAATAAAGGCGTGCACCACCAACTCCTGGGAATAAAGGCGTGCACCACCACCACCCAGCTGTGTTTCTCTTTTAGACTGGTTCAATCTCATGTAGCCCAGGGTAACCTTGAACTCCTGATCTTCCTACTTCCTCTTCCCAAGTACTGGGATTCGAAATGTGTGTCACCACTGCCTGGCCTCTGTGGTTAACTAGTGGCTAGCTCTGCCCTCTGATCTCCAGGCAAGCTTTGTCAGAACACAAACAAAATATCGCACAACATTGACCACTCCAGAAAACTCCGCTAACCAACATGTCTGCGCCCACATTCACCCTCCACAAAAATATCCTGTGAGGAAGGAGGCAAAGCTTTTCCTAGCCCTTAACTCCCAACGTTCAGAGTGATACCACCAGGTGAGGTCCATCAGTATAAACTTTTGTTAAATGAAGAAAAAGAAAGAGGAAAAATAGGAGACAGAGAGAGAAGAGGATGGAGAAAACAGTCCAATTTTCCAGGCTGTTGATTAGAAGAGTTCAGGCCTCTGAGAAGGCCTGGGATTTCATCCCATGTTCCTTTGCTTCCTATGAGGGGGAAATGCATGAAAATGAGCTTAAGGTCCAGTGTTGCTGATTCCAAACCTTACCTTGACCCTGTTCTAGCTGTGTGACACTGGGCACATCACTCATTTCATCCAATGACAGATTTCCCATCGGTAACATGGGAATGATCACCGACACTTCACAGAGTCACAGCTAGTTTCCACCGAGCTAATATATGTACAAATGATGAATGGTCCAAATGCCGTTTTCGTTATTACTGTTGTTATTATACACACTCTACAAAAATTCAGAGAATTATTTTGATTCTGTTAAAAGGGTGACACGAGATGGATTTTTTTTTTACTCCATAAACAGATTCTCATACTTTCTTCCTAATTAGACTCTATCTGTCATGTCTGTAATTCCTGTGTAATTAAATTGAAATTAAATGTCAATTTACTTTAAATTATAGAGTAATTCTATGTATACATGCCACGCAATCTGCATTTTGTTAGAAGATGACAACCAAAAATATCCTGACAGTCCCTCTGTAATTACATAGTGATCTGATTAAGTTCAGCATGAGAAACTACCTGCCAGGCCCTAAGAAGGAAACGCAGTTCTCTGGAAGGAGAGAGGTTAGCTCAGAGGAGGGGCCTAGCAGGAACTCACCCTCCCCGAGGACCTGCCGCTCTCCAGGAGGCGGGACAGACTGAGCCAATGAGAATTCCCTTGTGGGTAGTAGATGGTGATTCTTTATTGTTTAAAAAAAAAGTTTATTGAGTTTATTGAATATATTTTAAGAGAGCAGTAACTTGAGAACATCTTGAAGAATGAGGGTGATCCTTTAAGAGAGAAAAAAAGTCTTAATTATAGAACAGGTTAATGGCTGCAATTGCCCCTTAGACATGTCTAACCTCACTGTTGGAATCAGGTTGGTGTCGAAGGACTTCGGTCTGCGTGTTGACTGCGAATGTCAACCGGAGATTGTATTTTCCAGTAACACACCAAATGGCGTCTATCTGCTGGTTCTCATAATGTTTCAATACCTGACACCACTCCCATTTATCATCGACAAGCATATTACTATGTCTATCCTGCTTCAGTATACACTGCAGTTTTCAAACATGAGGCAAGTGGTGGGGGAGGGGGGACAGGCAACTGGGTGGTTGAGGACATTGGGCTGAGCCTGTTACTGGCACACAGCAATGGGGCCACCAGAAACAGAAATGTCACTGTCTGTGCTTCCCTCCCCTACGTCCTCCCCAGCAGTCACAGACCGGCCTCACCTCTTGGCGCCTTCCTTACTCAGGCTGGCCTATTTCTAGCCGCGAATACGTTGTGCTCTGGCAGGATTTGGGGACAGCGGAGCCTCTTGCTTTCCATTAACGTGAGGTCCTTCAAGCTTCCTTTATCCACTGTTCCCCCGGGCCAGCGACTCACACAGTGACTGAATCTGAAGGATCCTCCAGGGCATATCTTCAGAGCAGGTCCTTTGAGCAAACGGCCCAGTCATGAGTGAGAGAA